GTCACAAGATCAGGATCCTCAAACACTGTCTGATGTTCAACTAGACAGTACAAACACAACAAATGAATTGCAATCTCAGCTTGCGGCTCCAACACACATTCAGAAGCGTCATCCGGCAGAACAAATCATAGGGGATGCTAATGCTAGAATTCAAACTCGTGGAAACAGATATACTCCAGGTCAGTATGCCTATATTTCTCTAGTAGAGCCTAAAAACTATAAAGAGGCCTTAAAAGATGATGGTTGCTCTATTGCTATGGTTGAAGAGCTAAATCAGTTTGATTACTTGCATGTTTGGGACTTGGTTCCTCGTCCAGTCAATACTACTGTGTTAGGTACTAAATGGGTTTTTCGAAATAAATCTAACGAAGAGGGCATTATCATTCGTAACTAAGCCAGATTAGTGGCTCAAGGTTACTTGCAGGAGGAAGGGATTGATTACGACGAAACTTTTGCCCCTGTGGCTCGTCTTGAATCAATCTGATTGCTATGTGCTTTTGCTAGCTATATGAATTTTAAACTCTTTCAGATGGACGTTAAAAGTGATTTTTTAAATGGAGTTATTCAGGAGGATGTTTACGTTGAACAACCTCCTGGTTTTACTGATCATCAGTTCCCTTATCACGTTTTCAAACTCAATAAAGCTCTCTGTATTGCCTTAAACAGGCCCCTCGAGCTTGGTATGAACGTTTAACTACGTTCCTTAAGGAAGAACATTTGTGCAAGGGACTGTTGATAAAACTCTCTTTATTAAAAAGGTTTCAGGTGATCTTTTGCTTGTTCAGATTTATGTTGATGATATTGTTTTTGGCTCTACTAATGAGAAACTATGCTCTGATTTCTGTGAGTCCATGAAAAATGTGTTTGAGATGAGCATGATGGGAGAATTGCAATTCTTCTTAGGGCTTCAAGTCAAACAAACTCCTTATGGAATCTTTATTAATCAATCTAAATACATTTATAGTATGTTAAGTAAATTCGATATGACTGCCTTAAACACAAGTCCCACTCCTATGGCGACTAATATTAAACTGGATAAGGATGAAGCTGGAGTCCAGTGGATGAATCCCTCTATCGAGGCATGATCGGTTCTCTTCTTTACTTAATTGCTAGCAGACCTGATATTCAATATAGTGTGTGTTTGTGTGCTCGTTTTCAATCTCAACCGAAAGAAAGTCATCTCACAACAGTCAAACGTATCTTTCGTTATGTTAAAGGTACTTCTGATGTAGGTCTATGGTACAGTTAGCAGGATTTGTTTGATCTCATGGGATATAGTGATTTTGATTTTGCTGGTAGTCTCACTGATCGTAGAAGTACTACAGGCAACTGTCAGTTTGTAGGTCTCTCCCTTGTATCTTGGTCTTGCAAGAAACAAGGTGTTGTTGCTCTTTTAACAGCAGAAGCAGAGTACATTGCTGCTGACAGCTCTTGTACTCAGTTATTGTGGCTTAAAAATCAATTATCTGACTATGGTCTGACTAGTTCTACCATTCCCTTATTCTGTGACAATACTAGTGCCATTAGTATGACAAAAAACCCTGTTCAGCACTCTCGTACCAAGCATATAGAAGTTAAATACCATTTTATTCGAGATCTTGTTCAGGACAATTTATTTTCCTTACAATACATCCCTACCGAGTTCCAATTAGCAGATCTCTTTAGTCTTTACCAAACCTTTAGCTGCTGCTCACTTTACCTTTTTATGTCTTGAGATCGGGTTGAGATCCCTATCATCTCTGACCGAGATGATTGGGATGTAAGTTCTGCTTCTGCTTCTGTTTTCCTTTTTTTTATTTTTTCTTTTTTGTCTTGCTTTGATTTCCTTTTGTAATTTTCTTTGCATTTATGTCTGCATTCCTTGATTCTCTGCTTTTAAGTTCCTTCCTTGTTTTGTCTTGTCCTCGAGTATTTAACCCTGTTCTCGGTTCTCCTCCTTCTTCATCTCCTTGTCTCGTGACCCTAGCCTGCCCTTCAATATGGTATTCGCAGTCACGTTTACCAGCACTCTTTTCTTTGAGCCCATCCCCACCAACTACCATCGCCATCTCCAAAGTTATGCCTCTCGCCCTTTTCTGGCCTCGTATCATGTTCCCTTTCCTGAACTTATGGAACTGGGACTTGATGTGCATAGGCTCATTCAAAACTTGGGATGGGAGTATCTTCTTGATCACCCTTTTTCCTCTTTGGTCTGCCCTGATTTAGTTCGTTATTTCTTTTCGAACTTTCGCTCCCCCGGGCTTGCCTCCCGCTCCTTTTCTTCTATAGTTTTTGGCCATCTGTTCACTCTCCATCTCGATGACTTGTCCGATACTCTTCATATCCCTCGAGTTGGAGAGGCACTCGCTGGCGCCTCTGAGCTTGAGCTGTTTGCATTTCAATATGCTGAAGAAGCTCACTGGCGTCCTGCCAGCTCCAGATCTTCTTATGCCTGTTTCCGCCCTTCTACCCTCTCTTCGGTTGCTTCACTATTGCATCACCCGGGTCTTTGTTCCTCGTGTTGATTTTTTGGACCTTGTTCCCCCGGTGGATCTTTGGATTATTTCTCATGCTGTTCATGGGGTGCCTCTTTATCTTCCCCCAATACCCCTAATATGCTACCAAAATCTCCAACTCATAAGCCAAATTAAACCAAAATCAGATTCAACAATCATCTGCCTTCATCTCACTCAACACCCGCCCCCAATTAGTACCACAATCCACTGCCACTGTTTCTCCCGTCCGTCGTTGCTCCAGTACGCTACGACTCACACCCAATCTCTCTTGGTCGAGTGAAGGTGAGAAGAAGGGTTATTCCCGCTCGAATCGACCCCTCAATATATCCTCTGCCTTTTTTTCCCTCCACTTTCCCAAATCCATCAAAAAGCAGTGTCGATGCACACCCTACCCCTTTCCCGGCAGAATTCGACGCAGCTGAAAAGCAGTCGTCATCAGTTGTAGCCGCATCTGAGAGGACATACTTCGTTGCGTTAGTTTCATTCGCTCCCCTGGTTGCCACCGTCAAAATTGTCAGTTTCGACCATGTTTCCCTAAATTCTAGGGTTCGGGCGGAACCCAGACTCTCAGAGATGCTCGACTGATTGATTGGAGCGATTGAAGAGATGGGCTGGAGCGACGGTCGGATGGGTGGGTGTGGGGGAATAGATGGATGCGGAGTGAGCCAATGCGAGGGAATGGATGGTTGCGAAGAGACGACTTTATGGTGCGAAGCACTCCCCTTAATCCTCGTCGGACATTGAGAAGAAGATTCAAGAAAGGAATTGAATCCAGTTGTCCCTGCCATCGATTCTCGTTCTGGGAGGAATCGGGGGGGGGGGGGGGGGAGGGAAGTTTGATGAAGAAGATCACCGATGGTGGGTTTGTTAGGAGATGACGAATAAGGGGAATTATTATGAAATTTTTTTAAAGTAATATATGACGTGGTGTCTATGAGTCACATGAGGCTGAGTTGTCGCTGACGTGTGCATTGATTTGGCATCCTAATCAACATATCATTAACTAACTGATGGAATCTCTAACACCATTAAATTTTGTAACAAAAATGACTAGATTTGTCAAACAATTATCGAAAATTGGTCTATTCTATGTATTTCTCCAAATTTGGCTACTATTGGAGAGTGGATCCCTTGACTAAGGGGGGGGGGGGTCCTTAGTCACTTGACTAAGCCCCTCCTAGCCATTAGACCTGGACACTTTAATCCAATGGTTAAAAAGTGGGAAGGACTATTTAATTAATGACAGGGGTAGTTTGGGTATTATGGAAAATTACGAAGTATACAAACAGGATTTACAATCAGTACAAACCATACAAACATACGAACAGTACAAACTAGAGCGACAAAACATACAAACAAATTTACAAACATTACAAACGTATGAACTGTACAAACAATACAAACTAGACTGACAAACAATACAAACCATACAAAAAGAAAAAACAACCGGGTTGACTTTGGAGGCTCCATCCCTATATAGAGGGGCTCCTTCCCAAGGTCAACCCGGGTGTTTTTAGACATACAAACAATACGAACATGGTGGACAAAAATGACAAACTAGACCGAAAATCCATACGAACGGGAAAAAACACCCGGGTTGACTTTGGAGGCTCCATCCCTATATAGAGAAGTTTCTTCCAAAAGTCAACCGGGTTGTTTTTTAGACATAAAAAACATTACAAACATGGTTGACAAAAACGATAAACATGGTGCACAAAAATAACAAAGTTTACAAACATTACAAAATAACAAAGCGTACAAACATTACAAAATATGTCAACAAACATCACAAAATTTCCAACCAGAAAGTCTTTCCGACCAGAAACTCTCTCTCTCTCTCCCACACCAAAAATGGTGGCCTGGGACTAAAAAATTGTGGCCAGGGACTTTTTTTTGGCCTGCTGAGACTTTTATTTGGCCGGCAAATCTTGGCCGGCGGTGATCTCTCTCTCGTTGCACTTGGTGGGATTGGGGGAAAGTTCCCAGCAAAATGGCCGGCGGAGCAATAATTCCCACCACCGGCGGCAGGGATTATTCCCAGCAACGGCGAAAGAGTTTACGAGGCGGGGAATTGTTTTTTCCATTAATTAATAATTGAAAATTAATAAAATCATGCAATTACTATATTGTCCTTCATTAAATTAGATTAATCTAAGCCACTAAATTTTAATGAGCTTGAAGGGCTAAAATTCCTTAGTCATGTGACTAAGGAACCCCTTAGTCTCCTGATCTTGTCCCCTACTATTGATAATACTCGAAAGTTGTCGATGTACAAGTTTATTTTGTTAAAAGGATGCAGTACAGTTTCAACTAGTTGAACCCGTTTGTGTGGTGGAGGTGCACCGTTGCAGCCTCAATTGAGCGGTGTGAGTAACGGATCGAACCAGAATGATTGGCCGAACCCACACCAATTCTTCCCACTCGTCCCCTACTTAGAAGTTAGAACTAGAATCATCCCTTAATTATTTATCCGTCGAATTTTCATTTATATTCATTTATTATATTCGCTGGTATCGGACGTTGAAATTGAAAATGGTGTGGAATACAGAGAATGGAATAAAAACGAAACCCTAACAAAAAATCGGATCCATATCCGTCTCTCACCCTCTCTCACCCCCTTCTTCTATCTCACCGGAAGGAAGCTCCGTCCCTCCGTTTCGCACCGCTATCGGAACTCGAAATTGATATAGGTTCCCGATCATATTCATCGGCGGAGGACGACTATCGACGGTCGTTCTCGTGCTTCGTCCGTTTCGATCGATCCGATTGAAACCTGCTTTTCCCCCCTTCTCGGCCGGCTCCGTTGTCTTCCTCTCTCACGCCGCTGCCGTCTCCCGCTCTTCTTGCTCGAAGCTCGGCTCTCTCCTTATCTCTTCCAGCTCAACTTCCTTCCCTTTCTCTCTGTATCTGGAGTCGTTGACTTGGGAGTTGTAGCGCCCCAGCTGCCGCTGCTCCATCCAGAGGAAACTCCCGCACTTAACTCCATCCCCACCGCCGCCTTCCTGTTCCTAAGGTCACTCCTCCTCCAGCTTGGTGTTTTTTTTCTTCCTTTTCTCCTTTCATTTGCGACGTCCTTGATCATTGGTTTCTGTTCTTTGTATATCTTAGAGGATTTTCCTGGTTTAACTATTCGACCTTGTCTTTCTGGTGATCTTCAATCTTCCAGCGTTCTCCTCGGTTTCCAGTCTTCCCGTTAGAGGACTGCTCCTGTGTGTCTTGACATTTACTGCTGAGGAGGTTGGAGTGCATCTGGTCGCAATACCTTGAGGTGAGTGTTTGGACATTTTTCAACTCGGTTTTGTATTGCCAGTGGAGAAGATGTTGATACAATTTGATTTAGTTCGCTGGTCTTGTTACCCTGAAGCACTTGGTCGGAGATGTTGCATAGTGTGGATGTTGATATTTGTGGTGGCTGTCAAGCTTAGCTTTGGAAATTTGAAGCATTTTTTGGATTCTGAAGTTTTTTCTGTTGGCTTATGATGAACTGTTCTTTGTTTAAGGAGAATAGAACGTGGAAGTGTTGTACTTGCATGGTTAGAAAATGGAACCGGCTGTTTTGGATGATATTATTCGGCGGCTTTTAGAGGTTCGCGGTAGACCTGGGAAGCAGGTCCAGTTATCGGAGGCAGAAATCAGGCAACTGTGCGGGGCTTCTCGAGAGATCTTCTTGCAACAACCCAATTTGTTAGAGCTTGAAGCACCCATCAAGATTTGTGGTACTTTTACTACTAAATCTTGTTCTCATATGAAAATGAATCTGACTTGCGATACTTGTTGGTTTTTCATTTTGCTTTGTTCTTATTACATGCGGTTCATCTCCACCTTAAAACCATGTGTAAAGCTCTTCTTTTCTGGTTACATTTGCTGGTTAGACCAGCATGCAGTTCATTATTAGACTTGTTGATTTGACTGTCAATTTTCCAACTCATGGATTAGATGCCAGGTGCTAATGAGACCCTGCTCTTCTTGTGTTCCTTTAATTACTACTAGTTGGCCCTGTCAAGCATTGACTTGCAAATTGAAAAAGTTATGATGCAGCCTTGGAGGCTCATGGTATCACCTCTGGGGATTAGTGTTTGATTCAATGCATTCCTTCATCATTCCCTGTCTGTTATTCTAGTCATTGGATGATGACTTTGTCTGAACTGCACTGTCTGCCCAATTACATAATCTTGCGAAGTATTTCTTTTCATCTGATTAAAATTCCCCTATCATGATGCCCTGTTAACCTCTATGTCTGCCAACTTACCATGCCACATCCTATTGCCAAGAAGTGGGAAAAAGACCTGTGTGTGCTTGCATCTTCCTGTGTTTTATTCTATCACAATAGTCCTGAAAAGACTCTTCAAACAGCCTGATGGTTATTGTTTGGATCTGCAGGTGATATTCATGGTCAATATTCTGATCTTCTAAGGCTGTTTGAATATGGCGGATTACCTCCACATGCAAACTACTTGTTTTTGGGAGATTATGTTGATCGAGGCAAGCAAAGTCTGGAGACAATATGTCTTCTACTTGCGTACAAGATAAAGTATCCAGAGAACTTCTTTCTGTTGAGGGGAAACCACGAATGTGCTTCTATTAACCGTATATATGGTTTCTTCGACGAGTGCAAAAGGAGGTTTAATGTTAGACTGTGGAAGACTTTCACAGATTGCTTTAACTGTCTACCGGTGGCTGCTCTAATTGATGAGAAAATTCTCTGCATGCATGGTGGTCTTTCTCCAGATTTGCATAATTTGGATCAAATCAGAAACTTAGCTCGGCCTACTGATGTACCAGACACAGGTTTGCTCTGTGATCTGCTTTGGTCTGATCCTAGCAAAGATGTTCAAGGTTGGGGAATGAACGACAGGGGTGTTTCGTTTACTTTTGGTGCTGATAAGGTGGCAGAGTTCCTTCAGAAGCATGATTTGGATTTGATCTGTCGTGCTCATCAGGTTTACACTCACACTTCTGTTATCCATGTTATTCCATATTGTTTTAACATGCTTGTGATTAACCCTTTAATCCCATGGATACCAAACATCATCAGCTTCTCCTTATCCTTGTACGATCAATCTTGGGTTTTTGCGGCTTGTGTTAGTTCTTGAGTGTATTTGTTGGTCTTGTGGTGGTTATCCCCTACATTTCATTTTTTCTTACATCCATTTTACTTTTCTTTATTGCTTTGTGTGCTCTTGGATCATCTCATGTTCTCATGTGATGATGGGTTCTTGAAATCAATTCCTCTGTTTCACATCTAAAATCCTGTTGAATTTTGGCGTCATTTGCTGTTTTATATAATTCTTGGAACTCTGGAGGATATTCTTCACAATCTGCCCCTTTATCTGATCGTTTGACTTTGGTTTCACTTGTATGGTTGGTGCAGGTTGTGGAGGATGGATACGAGTTCTTTGCCAATAGACAGCTTCTAACCATATTTTCTGCACCTAATTACTGTGGAGAGTTTGATAATGCTGGTGCAATGATGAGTGTCGATGAGACGCTTATGTGCTCATTCCAAATATTAAAACCTGCCGATAAGAAGTCAAAGTTTAACTTTGGGCATGCAACTCCTGCAAAGCCTGGAAATGCTTCGGGAGGAGTTAATGTTTTTGGAAGCACAACAACAGCTAAGCCTGGTAATACACCAGCTGGGGTTAAGGTAAATGCTCGTACTGTTATTCTTTCCATTCTATATGTTTGTTAGTGTAAGATTTCATTCTGGGATACAAGGCTCTTTTGGTAATTGGTAAATGCAAAGTTACACTTGTAAACCATGTCCTAGAGAATATAGCTTTGTATGCCAAGTTAGGTTGCATTTTAGGAGCCTATAGGTATGCAGGTTGACTTTTGCGACATTTTGGAAGAGGATAGGGTTGGTCGAGGATGGTTTTTTTTAATGATTAGATTTTCATTTGGACAGATAGATTTCAACATGTTATATTGCAGTGATGATGAATTCAGGGAACGGAATTTCTGTTGTTGGGCCACATGCTAGATTTTAGAATCCATTATGGATATTATGGTAGATTCACAATCCATATGTGATAAATCGAGAAATCTATACTGGTCGAACAAGTGTCTGATAGATTTCAGTCCATATGCATTGTCCAAAATCCAGCACTGAAATGAATGATTCAATTCAGGTTGATAAATAGATTTTGGTGAAACTGCATTGTCCAAAATCCAGCACTGAAATGAATGATTCAATTCAGGTTGATAAATAGATTTTGGTGAAACTGCATTGTTCAAAATCCAGCATCCATATTGGTGGTATTTCTTCTTTGCATGACTTGTATTGCCATGTATTTTTCCTGTTTTTCAATCTTGACTTGCTCTCAAGCTGCCTTTGTTACTCAATTGTCAGTCATGTTAAAAGTGCATCGTTGTTATCCTGATTTATCATTGCCATCCTTGCTTGCAGTCCTTCCTAGGCACCAAAGTATGATGATAATAGCCTTAATCTACCGTGGGTGATGGGCTTTAGATGAATGTTTAAGAATGTCCCGCGCTGCTTTTTTCCCCTATGAAGTCCAAGACTGCAAGCGAACTCGAAAGTTGAGGGGTTTTTCAGTTCACTATTGAAGGAGGAGAAGGTGGAATTGGAAAAGGGGGAGCAAGGAACTAGATGATCGGCCATGTAAGAAAGTTTGAAGAGGGAAGGCTGTAAACTCGTAGTAGCTCTTGGCGTTTGGATGATATGGTAAAACTAAATGTCACTCTTATAGGCCAGTGAAGCAACGTTGGAATTGTTTGATTGCTTCCTCCTGATTTTACCTGTTTGAATTCCTCGACCAGACTTTGTTAAACCATATTTTGCTTCCAAGCTCATCCATCTTACCGGGGTATTAGAGGTTTCATAGAATTCACTTGCATTGCATCGCATCTATGCCTCTTCATTTTTCGTTTTATGCTTCTTAATGTTTGAAACTCCCAGCTTGAGAAGGAGAAAGTGAAGTCTATGGACACTTAGTGCCTTGGTAAAGAGATATACAAGTTAAAGTTCAGACTTGACAAGAGTAACTGTTACAATCTTCTACAAAATGTGCTTTCGAATCAAGTGAGACAGAATTTGCTTGTGGTAACATTCCAGGCCTAGAGGAATTTGGAGAGTTGAAGGGGAATGTTGCAATAGTTTTACTCCTTAGAATGCCCTCTAAGGAGGCATCTCTAGCTGGATTAGAATATTAGATACTCAACCAACATAGGTGTTATCACTGTTATGGCATGCTTCCATCATTTTCCTGTTTTTAGCTTTCGGCTTCCAACAATCTTCTTTCGTATGATTGTCTTTCATGCAGTATCTGCAAAATAGATTCTGAGGTGGTGGTTGATTCTTCCTCTGATCCTAACCCCTGCTACCATCAACTGCTAGGGCTATTCTTTCATCTCCTTTAGTTTCAGTGCCATGCAGGTCAAGCTATCTTTCATGCTGCAGAACATAGCTGAATGCAGATCCTATACTAGGCATAGGCTTCATAATAAAAACATTTGTACGCACTCCTTCATAGTTATCATTTAGTCCAGGGGCGGAGCTAGGTGGAGCCTCGGAGGGGCCGGGGCCCCTCCGAGAATTTTGAAACTACGTACAAAATCTCTTCGGATTGTGAAAAATTACGTATAAAATAGATGTTAGAATATTAATTGTGTGCGCAATAATCTGACAAGAAACTAAGGTTTGGACGAATGGTAGAAGTGTTGATCTTTTAGATTGAGTACATGGGTTCGAATCTTGCCTATAGCGAATTAGTGCCCATTTTTGCCATTTTCAAGTTGTGAGCATTCTCACCTAAACTACAGCAAATTAAGTGTTATTTTGCTATTTCCATATTGAAATAAGCCAATAAATTGTTTGAAAATGATAAAAATGAGCTACATATTGAAATACATGATTAATTTTTTTCGTAATTTAATAATTTGTTTTGACCATATCACATAGTAAATAATTATCTCAATTCTTGTTTTGTTATGATAATAAAAATTCTATAAACTTTTTTTGTCATGGTAAACTAAACAACTTCGGCCCCCCCGAGATTCAAATCCTAGCTCCGCCCCTGATTTAGTCCAATAAGTCTACTGACTACTGTACTGAACATCCTCTTTCCAATAAGTCTTCAACTTGGTAAAATATTCACTGATACTAGAACTAACCTGTTTGCATGATAGATCTGAGTCTAGAGGTCTACTAACCTATCTGGATCTACTTGAGCATACCTCATTTTCAAATTTTCCTAGATTTTATATGTATTCTCAGTGCTAGGTACCCTTTCAGTTGTGGTTTCATCAAGAGAGTTAAGAAGCCAACCCAATACCCAAGTGTTGTTGGCATCCCACTCTTCAAGGTTGGGATCAGTAGAGCTTGGTTGTGGTTTTGAGGCATCAATGTAACCAAGCCTCTGCCTTAACTTCAGGGCAATCGTCAAATATCTGCTCCATAAGTTGTAGTTCTTTCCATTAAACTTGATTGCAACAATGGATTATGGCACCAATTGATCGTGAACTGGTAAAGGAAATGACTATAGACGTCTACCCAGAATTGGTATTCATGATGAATAAAACACTGGCAGATAGTGATGGCAATTTCAACCCGCCCCGCGGGTATTACCCGACCCGACCCGCGATGGGGCGGGTATTACCCGACCCGCAGTAGCGTGGGGCGAGGCATGGGTATCTACTTCCGACCCGCCCCGCCCCGCCCCGTTCTAGACTCATTTTATCTCAATTTCTTACAATCTATACATATTTCTCCTATTTTGACTTTTCTTCAACTAGTTAGAGTCGATCTTTCAACTTGTTAGGCTCAATTATCCATTCTATTATCAATCTTTTTCATTCTTAAAGTGTTTTCCCCTACGTTTTATTGTAAAAAGTAAAATTTACTTGTATTTTTTTTAATAACATGTAAGAGTGGGTCGACCCGCCCCGCCCCGTACCCGCGCGGGTTTTACCCGCTCCGACCCGTAGTATCGTGGGACGGGGCATGGAAATTGAGGTATCCGCCCCGCCCCGCCCCATTGCCATCACTACTGGCAGAGTTCTAGCTGCGCTCTGATACCGTAAAAATAGGGTTGGATTGAAAGTGAGGCTTACAAGTAGGATAAATCAAGAAACCCTACCATCTACAACTAACGATAACTAAATAGTAATTACCTAACTACTGCTAACTAACAATTGAAACAACCAATGAAATATATACATGTGGCTAATTAACACATGACTTAAGTGAATAGATGGCGACGGCGTCATGTTGTTGAAACGACGTCGGAGGGGGCTTCTTCAAGCAGTACAAACCAAGAATGGTATCTGGACACGGGTTCGGAGTGTACATGGCGCTGGCCCGTGCTTGGCCGGCACGGCACGGGCATGCTTCGGGCCCATTTATTTCGTGCCGTGCTTGGCACGGTCCGTCAGTTTTCGTGCCGTGTCGTGCCATGCAAGCCCATTTGTCAACTTTGCTAGACCCGGCCCAGGCCCGGGCACGGTTCGAATCGTGCCGTGCCTATTCGTGCTCGTGTCATGCTCGTATTCGTGTTCAATGAAAAGGACGAAAACAAAAGAGAGAATGAAAAAGAAGGTGAAAATTGGACGGGGGAAGATAGTATTAACCGATAATGTTTGAGAAAAGTAACAAATAGGGGGGAAAAGAAAATTAAAAGTATAGCGAGTGTGATTTGGCTTTGTTTAATTCTTTGTCCATTTTTATTTATGTTAGTAATTACGTATATATCTGTATGACACTTCTAACTAGGTCCGGCCCTGAGCCCGTGCTGGCAGGCCCCTCAGCACAGGGCCTCAAGAAAATAGGGGCCTCACATAATCCATTTGTGTGTTACGGGCTTTATTTGTTTGTTATCAGCTGTTGGATTTGTATGGGCCTACACAAAGAAAAACAGAGGCCTTAAACTCATTGCTGCATATATTTATGAATACAAGGTTTTTTACTTTTTTTTTTAACATTTGTCGGAATCCGTGTCCCAAAAAATAGGCTTCCTATACCGTAAGAAAAAAAAAAGAAGCTTCCTACAGTGTTTTTCAGCCTCGTGAGTCGTGAGTCACGAAGACCAATAGGTATTTATATTAACGGAAAAAATGTATACGGCATTTTGGACTTTGGACTTTTGGCAATGATTTCTTAATAGTGTTTTTGCAGCATATTTGGATGATACTTATTGACACAGGAAGTCTAAATTTATGTATTAACAGAGTATTTCCTCGCTTTACCATTAAAACAATATTTTTGTGTCACAAAAAATTAGATAAACATATATTTTATGCATTGTAGGATTTTATATTGACCAAATATTATAGTTATTTGTTGGCACTTTATATGCTGTAGATTTCAAATGCATATTAAATGTTGTTATTGTAAAAGTAGAATTATAAATTACTTTCAAAAGCTTATAATTCAAAGAAGATGGGCTTTTCATCCTAGACTTCTACCTAATAAATTTTTTGGCACTTTTTTTTAAAAAATTTTAAGATAAAAATACTGTAATAACAAATAGTAAATTTAGAATAAGTTCATAAATTATATAACATAATTTATAATATAATGAACCAAATATTAGAGATATTTGTTTCCGACAGGTTTTGTCAGGTTTGATTTGCGGCTTGGTTGCGCTCATTGTAAATCTTGCCCTGAATTTTGTTAAATCATCGTGTGTTTATCATTTGTTATCATCTTATTTTTTAAAAACATTTCCTATTAAATTTATCAAAAAATGTTTGGACCACATTTTCTTTTCAGAACAGGGCCTCCGAAAGTTCAGGGCCGGCCCTGCTTCTAACAACAAAAAATAATTATTTTTCTACTTGTGTTTTGTAATATTTGAACCTATAATTCTTTTTATACTTATTTTCTATCAAATAAATATTATTTTCGTGCCATGTCCGTTCTTATACTCAATAAAGTCTTGAAAATATTAGGCCCGACACGGCCCACTTATATACCGTGCCGTGCCCGTGAAGTTTAGGCCCGGCACGGCCCATAAATTATTTGTGCTCGTGCCGGGCTGGCCCATTTATTTCGTGCTCGTGCTCGTGCCGTGCTCTAACCGTGCCATGCCGTGCTAGCCCGTGGGCGCCCACGTACAATTCGGAGCACTGCTCAACCCTAGTCTTCTATTTTCCTTCAGACTGATGGGAGAGACAGAGGCTGTGAGGAGTGGAGATCTAAGGTAGAGCATAAGGATCAAGGTCAGCCACTGCCTCTTCTTCCTTGCTTCACAACTAATTCGCCTATTGTTGCCTTTGTTCTTATTCCAAATTATTAAAGGGATGAGTAAGGGGTTGACGAGATCATTCTAGGAGGATGAGGATGACAGAGCGGCGACTGACATGATCGATTGGACGAAAATTAGGATGGCAGGCAAGACAATAATGAGAGAGAACTGATTTTATGTTCATGTGGTATGGTGATGTCTGTCTGGCGTGGGATTGGGGATTGCTAATTGTCGCCCTAATTTTAATACAATCGTCCTAATTTAAAAGTTAAAATGACATTATTATTCTTCCTTCTTGTTTATTATTTTTATTTTATGAGATACTTAATTATAACAAACACAATTATCAGCGATAAAAAAACTTTATCCGTCCCTACCACTGTCTGCCGCCGCCATGAACCGCCACCAATACCCACCTCAAGTCGCCGGCCCAAAAAGACATCACGTATTAAAAGTTCCGGCTTGATCATTCTAAAAACATACTAGTTTAACGAGAGCCATTGAGGCTTGCGTAACTGCATCGAACACCCATCCCCTAGTGTGAATCTGGTTTTTTTATGGGATATGAGACTGCATATCCGAGATTCATATGTAGGCAGGTGAGTAGTGACTTTTCCTTTCCTTTGGTTATTTTTGGTTTCAATATATACATATATATATATATATATATGTATATATGTATATATGTATTGTTGCTAGAGGAGAAGGGCGATGCCAGTAGAGAGGTGGAGGGAAATTGGTGGTTTCTGCTGGCGGAGGGAATCAGCGGCGGAGGCAGGCGGAGGT